ACTGTACGAGATACTATAAATGTGTGGGCGTTAACTCTCGTGCTAAAGAAAAACAGGTTACTGAACCGGTTAAGACAGAAATAAATATTTATTTATACAGAGGAACATTGTATTATTCACAGATACAATTGATCCACCCATTCTCTAAAATCAGATAGCATGTACTTGAATGCTGTAGACAAAACGATTTGTCTGCATGAGCGGCAAACAAGATAACATTATCATATCATCCGGCCATGCCGGGAAGGTGGGGGGTCAACAGAATACTGCCGTCTCCAAGCCTGATATTCTAAAACCCTACAAATGCCTAATAAGATCAGTATACTCTAATTCCACTTTACTGAACAAGTTCTTTCAGTTCCCATGGTCTGCATGAAAAGATCTTTAATTAATTGATTATTGCTGATACAACATGAAAATATTAAAGATTCAAGAAAGGGGTTTGAACCATATCGACACTACTTTACCATTACTCACAATTTATACAGTCAATTGCAATTCAGAAAATAACTAATGAGATGCACAAGTGCTTTCCACAAAGTCTCATCAATCTTTTATAACARAGTAAAAGATAACAGGATCTGCAAGTCCCTTGGGTAGATATGCCAACAATCAGATTTTGTTAAAGTACAGTTGACTAATTTCAACACATTCTTTTGCATTCCATTTTACCTATGTATTGCAGTTTCAGATTTCCAGAAATATTTATGAAATTTACACATGACTTTTGTTCGATGTTGGTTTCCTTAGAATACATTTCATTTGAACATACTTCTTCATCTCATTGTGTACTTCATGAATCTCATTTTATATGTGCATATGGCACAACCTTTTCGTTGCAATTGACTGTATATGTCTCAATTGATAGGTCATGTAGATCTTTTTTTAGCAGTAATTTGTACAACTCAAAGGTGCTGAAACGAATGTTAGGTGTTGTTGTTATGATGAGTTTAAAGGTAKGTTATTTTGATAGTGGGTCGTGATCGGCAATAAATAAACCACTTGATTCCCACTACTGATCGACATGACATGACATGACATGATAACTTTTAGTGCTCATTTCCCGGTCAGAATATTGATAACAGGCACGACAAACAAGCAGATAGAACATAAAGCCGTCCGTAAGGCACTTCAGTTTGGCTACGACAGGAGGATTGATTGCTTTACATTTTTATTAAAAACCGCCGTTGGTTCATTCATTTTAGTTGGAATACGAAAAAGCACACGACCATTATAGTTCCGACACCTTTTCTAAAACTTTATATAACAACAGAATTTGAAAAAGAAATAAGAGAGTCACTCTAATAACAAATCAGTATGAGTTGTTGACTTCAGATAGAGCTATGATGAAAACCCTCCACTGAGTTAGTGTTGAAATGAACAGATAAAGAGGGATAGATATTTTGCCTGTAGTTGCCAATTAAGCCATGAACAATACCTCCATGCAGGTTAAAAGAAYCGCGGTTGCTCGTCTGTATTAAGATCATTCCACTACATCAAATAATTAGTACTTCATGAAAGTTAGGCATTTTAGCAAAGTTATGCTAATAAAAAGCAAAGTAATGCTAATTGCTAATATTTAGATGATTTCTTCAGGTTAACTTCTTAATTATCTTTATTTAGTGGTATATTACTATTTAATGGTATAAAACCTTAAGTGAGATTCTCAGTGGACCCATCAGTTCACGGCAAAAGCGATTTGAAGTTTTTCAGTCCTCGATCTTCGATTCATATGAACTCTCAAGTACGTTCATCAATCAGCAATGTTAAAATTAATCAGGATTTCTTTTTTTGGCAATCAAAATGATAACAATAATACTTGAACCCTGCACGCGTTTATTCGGTTAAATTTGATACATAGTTAGCATACTGACTGTATTGTTCCTGCATGCAGAAACTCACGACTTCACTGCATCGCTCCTGCATGCCGAGAAACTGACTCCRCGTTATCAGTAAAAGTCGAAGCGCTTTGACTTGTTTGGAGAGCTTTGGCAGTACCAACAAACCTGTACTAATCAGTTATATCATAGTTATATCTATTAACTATGGTTATATGCACGGTCTTCTGAAGGTTAGCGAAGCCCTGTATCTGATAAACTAATGCCTAACATATCATAGCACCATAGATAAGGCTCCTCTGACTCTTGTTCAAYACTTGGTCACTTTTACTACTATGATTATAGTTAAGCATCAAATATGAATTGAAACCATCCTTACTAAATCAGTCATCACTAAAGCAGTACTTTTCCAAATTGTAGATTATTGTAGTCTTAAGGCTGTTTTTTTTTATAATCGTTACAATCGCTAGGATCGCCACGATCGCATCGATAACATGGAATCAAAAATCGCCGCGAGTTGCAGCTACATTTCAAGCATGTTCGAAACTAAGGCGATTGTCGCGCGACCATCGCGCTGCAAAAATTGCAAGTGTAAACGGGCCTTTAGAACCCTGAATGAGACTCAACACTAGCAAAGCTTTCGTAATCATAGACCACAGTTCATGTCCACAGTTACTGCAACAAGGTGGCACTGATGAATACCATACAATTTCGTATCAAATCTATTTTAAAGGATGTCATTTCTTGTATTTTCGATGAAGTRTGAACGTCTTGGTACGCACGGTATCGAGAATTAGAGAATATGAATCAGTTTACGAGCGCGCGGAAGGMATACGGAAGGTCGAGACAGAGGCGCCCGGCCTAGAGCCACATGAGCATTACACCGAGTTAAGCATGAATTAAGGCWTTGAGGGACTGAATCACCTCAGGATCGAAAATGAAGGCATTTCATTGCTTAAGAATGGAATTAATTTTTTTGTATTCGTCGTATTAAAAAGTTTCTAGTATGTTTTTAAGCTAGTCAACTTTCCGCGAGCAGTATAGTTAACATCTCRAAACGTTGGTTGCCATGTGTGTCCCCAAACTATACTTGAATGACAAATTACAAAGCTAAGTATTCTATTTATTACTGGAAGTTCTTGTTCCCCAAATATGGACGAGAGATGTTGGTCATGTTGCATGGAAAGAAAGCCTTACGCACACTTTGTCATGAAAACGGTTAGAACTGGAACTGACCGTCTTGTCAGTCCATCATGCAGCAATACGTTCATTACAACCGGGAAGTCACATAATACCAACAGGTTTTCCATTCGATTCCCGGGTCTATTGTTCTTTAGTTTCAGTGCATTACTGATCCCATTTTCACACTCAAAAATAGGGCTAATTCAAGCCCCATTTCACCCGTTTATTAGGACCTTCAAAATATGCACTTGATTGTTTTAATATTTTATGATCAAACAACAGAATCAAAACTATATATTGACTTCCGAATCTTCCTTGTCTATTTTTGCTATCAATCGACGTGGTAACGCTTTATATCTGCCATATATAACTATGCCATGATGTGCTTTATTTACCACCAGTATAGGACGTGCTGTTTCTACAAATGATAATCATGATAATACTAAAAACTCGATTTATGAACTCGAAACACTAAATATTTAACTCGAAGTCATATTTCAATGTAAAAGCCTGTAAAAAATTCTTATTTACTGCCGTTGTAAAGCCGTGCGCAAACGCTTTCAACATTTACATCAGCATTTGCGTCAACATTTGCTCAACTTTGTTGAACGTCAATGTTCAACAGCTTGCGCGGGGCTTTCAACAAGCTTCAATATATTGTTGAAACGTATTGAATCAAAGGCAGTGAATCAGTTTCAAAGATTCGCTTAAGGTGTTTCGATTGCGCGGGGCTTTGAACCTGAGCTTCAATATATTGTTGAAACGTTTTGAATCAAAGGCAGTGAATCAGTTTCAAAGATTCGCTTAACATTTCTTTTCGAGATTCAACATTTAAGCTTCTACCTTCATCCTTCAACTTCTACAAGTACATTGTTATTCATATACAACGCCTTAGTCACGTCCGCACCTTGAATATTGCTGTGAAGTCTGGSACTCAGTTGGKWAAGGCTTTAAARASAGGCTTCAAATATTTCAAAATCGTGCAGCTAGACTTTCTGGGCACTGACAACCGAACAAGTTCGCGTCTTGTGGCCTAGGGCTACTTAATTGGGAYAACCTCGAGGAGACAACAATTAAACGTAAAGCGCTGTTGATGCACAAAACTTATAACAGAACAGCACCARTCAGAGCGCTTAATTAACTTATTCCATCTCCTTAGCGATTCAACCAATTATAATTTGAGGGGTGTGAGCTCTAAATTTATCCTTTCACGCCCGAAAACTGAATGCCTCAAAAAGAGCATCAGCTACAACGGAGCTGCGGTTTAGAAATAGTCTACCCCCTGAAATCGGTGAAACACTACCATTTTCGAGTTTCAATAGGAAAATATCAACATATACTCTGATCTCCAATTGATATATGACATATATGGAGGCGATTCTTATATCTGATGTTTTGGTTTCTCTTGAACTTACAGCAAAGATATATTGAGAAACAAGTCGAACTAAAAAAAGTAATATCGGAAAAAATAGCCCATGCAATAGTATATTTTTATGGCGGTCGCATGAAACAAGCGATCACTACAATATATAATTAGTTTGAAACAGTTATTTTAAGAACATAGATTTAATACACAATTTAATGTGGACGTCGATCATCACATGAAAACATTGTTTTTGTTTGGGTTATAGTGAGCTCCCAGGGTACACTTCACCTGGCACATGGCGATATATATAAATAGCTGCTGTTCTTGTGAAGGTATTCAGCCTAACGCAGTATACGTACGTGTCGTACGTGAGTACCACTCTTAATGCAATAATTGGTCAATCAACATATGCGATGAGTCTTTACTTGAACTTCACTGAAAATTTCTCTGTTGAAGCCGACACTATGAAACAGTACATGGAACCACAGCCTCTTCGCTACGTGCGACTGACTTGCTTTGGCGTCGTTATTCTTGGTTCTCTTATTGGTAATGTTGTGATTATTGGAGCTGTGTTGCGCGCCAAGGGAGTCAGRTCGTCCACATACCTTCTGATTTGTAACTTGGCGTTTGCAGAAATTATCTCGGCATGTTGCTTGCCGCTATTGCAAACTTATGCCGAATTGCAAGACTGGCCGTTTTCAAAGGCATTGTGTCACGTAGTGAGCCCGTTGCAAATAACGGCTGGGATGGTGGTTACTACATCAATTGCCTGCATTGCTGTTGTACGATACCTTCAACTTGGAAGTTTACGTTTCTACAGGATGACACGTAAGACATCCAGTGCCTGGSTAATCAACCTAATCATYTGGGTTATAGCTGTGATATGTGTCCTGCCATACTACCTTTACATGACCATAGTACCTGGCGGTCACGACAAGCAATGSTGTGTAATACTGCTACCTGGAGAAAGGTTTGACCAAAACTACCCTTCCTCGCGTGTCCGGTTTGTGATGATCGTGCAATTYCTCATCAACTATATCATTCCTCTAGCTATCACGCTTGTATGTTACAGTATTGTGGCTTCTAAACTCAAGTACCACATTAATAGAAGGATTTCTTGTGACATCAAAGTTCACGATATCACAGCGAGGCGGCATCCCGAGACAGAGTTGACTGAGATAAGYGAAATAACCCATAATACTCAGCAAGATAACAACCGGAAAAACGAAAGCAAGCCAGCAGTAATCGCACACGATGATGAGGACGACCTTGATGCATGCGAGTTAGACATCCTGAAAATGTTCTACGYCATTGTATTGATTTTTGTCCTGTGCTATCTTCCCTACCAGTGTTTCTTTATGTTAGAATATATGGGAAAACTGTCATGGAACAACTGGCAATACTTTGATATTACCAGGACATAYCTATTCTTGTTAACTTGTTTCCCAAGTGCTTTGCATCCGATCTGCTATGGTTTAATGAGCCCTTTTTATCACAGAGCTTTTTCAGTCATCTTTTGTAAATGATGTGACTCGAAGGCAAGAAGCGGACTGATTGACTTKGATCATTTGTGACACTAATCACCTTAATAATCAGAAAACATCCATGACGAAGATCTGGAACAATCAAATGATCCAATTTTAAACCACTCACTGTTGAGATTGCTGAACGTTTGTTTCTTATTGGCTTAGAATTTTCTCATATAATCAACCATTATGTAATTGCTCACTTTAGTGCATGATCAATTTTGTGATTTTAGTATAAAGCTGGACTTTTAACTCGCCACAAGGTGTTTCTGCGGGGTTACCTGTTSTATTTTTAGCTCTTGCCCCTACCAACTCTAATTTCTAACTGTAGAAATTGTATTGTGTGGTGACGACATAGTTTTCGATGAGCCAAAGATTCTTTATGCTTATTCTCATTTTGTTTTTTGTTTGTTTTGTTTTGTTTTTTGTTTTTCCTTTTCAGAATTCCCGCAAGGTTTTTTTTCGACGGGGTGTTCCGCGATATATTTCAGTTCTCGCTATTCCAATATGTTTGTTTTAGAAGTGGAATTTGTCGCCCAATAATGTTTGATAAAAAGAGCTTAAAGTTAATCCGGATGTGATGCAGTTTAGTGTTGATCCAGCATTATCCGCGTTGGCTTAGGCTTTTGTTTGAGACCATATTATCTGTATTATATCAAAATTTACCAAGCATAACTARCTCGCTGATTAAAAAACTTTAACAAACATAAAATCGATAGGATCATGACAAAAACGTATAGTTGTTACAAACAA